GTTGTTTAATATTTAAAACTACACCAATGGTTAATGGGATTCCTTTCTGTTATAGGCGATATAATCATTCAGGCTTTAACAGCTGTTGACATAGATGCAGGGGCCGCTATTACATATGCATTGGTTGGAGGCGATGATGCTCCTCCAAATTCAAAATTTTACTTAGCTGGAAACATTATAAAAACTTCAGCCTTCCTTGACTACGAAGACCCAGTCGTTATAGGCAGAAACTACCAGTATGATCTCATAGTTACGGCAACAGATGTAGGGTCGCCATCGGTTGCTACAGCAACTGTAAGAGTAAAGGTAGGAATCAAATCTCACGTATTAAATATTTCCATTCAAGTATGTGAATAGTCTCCATATACCCTCGCAACATCTTAAACTCACGAATCACCATAAATATTGTACTGCTACAATTTTAACAGTACAGTGCACGTTTTGGGTGAGGTAATTAGAATACAAAAAACAATTAGAAAAAGGCAAGCCTTGACACGAAGTTATCAAATACAATGAGACCTGGTAATAGACGTACTACGTATTTCATTCGGAATAAGCTCGTCACAATCACAACTCAAAACACGTTTTAATAGGATATTGAGTGTTGTATTTTTTGGGGATTTATCAAAAAAAATAGAAAAAAAACAGAATCTGTAAATAATACTTCTTGCTTACCATGACCAATAAAGAAACACATTAATTTAGATTTTAGCTTTCTGATTAGGTTTAAAACATAAACGGGCGGTAGTCGTCGCGCCACGCATGCGTAAGATATATGGGTCTCATATAAACAAAGATGGCGACTTTGAGTGTTGCGCAGATCAACGAGTACAAACGCATTGGATTGTGGGAAAATCTATGGTTGTCAACATAAATGTAGCACATGCGCAGCGCGACGACTGCCGCGGTATAAAACCGACAGTCATGACTGTCAAATGACGTAATATCACAGTGGCGAGGCGAATATAATCCGCTTTATACGTAAGATGTTATTTATTTTGTCAAGGTGACCAATAGGAATGAGTACTCTCCTGAGTTTACTGTTACTTCCGGCACGTTCGATTTCGACGAAGGAGAAAGCATTGGATCCTCAGTGGTTCCATCTTTGTTGGCCACAGATTTGGATAATGGAGTTGATGGCGCCATAACGTTCAGTATCACCGGAACCACCCCTGGTATGTGGAGATCAAGCTATCTATGTCACATGATTGTTCCAGAAAGTTTTTTTTTTTACAATCACATTATAGTCGATTATTCATTAATGTTTGTAATCAATCAGAATCGAACGAGACGTTCGACCGACAAATGGAATTAATACGAGACTGGTATACATTTGGTCCATTGCAAAACACAATCGCACTTAATTTAGTCGAATAAAAACAAACATTTTAATCCGTAAATTGTAAATTTCTGTACCTCATATTGTAAATCAATGATTAATTTGGTTTTTCATTGTGTCTACATGTGTATGTGGTATTTCCATAACAATCAAAACTGTCCGTTTTCTTAGCTGCTGGGTGCGACTTTACGATATTTCCGGACACTGGTGAAATCATTACTCTTGGAGAATTCGACTATGAGGCTGGCCCAACTTCTTGCACGCTAGTAATACAAGCAGTGGACAACGGCGACACACCGAAGACGGCATCGCCTTCATATACCGCAACAATCAACATCAATAATATCAACGACAACGAACCATTTTTCACACCAACAACACTAGCACTTGCAGCGATTTCCGAAAACCATGACACCGTGACTGCGATTGCCTCCATTTCGGAGCTTGCTGCAGGAGGTGATTTCATGGTTGATGATCTTGACACTGTTCTACCGGATTCCACTTATTGGTTCGCTTCCGGCAATGATCTTGGTTTATTCACATTTGATGGCTTAGATATCAAGTTGACTCAAACTATAGATTTAGATAATCCGGTCTTCAATCCGAGTGAATACACTTTGGTGATAGGTGTTAGTGATGGGGATGTACCGCCATTGACTGGTTATGCGACACTCATCGTGGAGGTCACACCAGAAAACAACCATAATCCGTTCATTGACCATATCGACCCTGGTGGCACAATACAGGTACTAACATTTTTCAATTGTACGTTCATTTTGTTTCAATATCGAGTTTCATCCATCGTTATTGCTGTTGTTGTTGTTGCTAGCAAGTAAATATATTTCTATTTAAAGCCGGAGAGTCGTCACCTGCGCACGCTTGGGAATTGAGTCCCAAGCAACGATAACGACACATCCTAAAAACGCAAAGGCTCATGGGTAGGCGCTTGTTTGTAAACAACTTGAATGACACACTATGACCATCTGACGCATGCGCAGGTGACGACTTCCCGCTTTAATATATTACGCATTATTAATTCACATACAGATAAACGAAAATGATCCAATCGGAACACTGTGTGCAACAGTATATGCTGAGGACAGAGATGTTGACGACATATTGGCGTATGCTATATTTGGTGAGTAATTCGAAATAATAAATAATTTACTTATCTATTCATGATGAATTCTACGCTTATAATACATTTCCATGTGCTTCACCTTATTTCAGATGGGAATGTCAATAATTATTTCGAAATTGACTCGTCCACTGGAGAAATACGAGTTGCTAATCAAGTAGATTATGAAGCGATAGCACCTAATGTTAATATCGATCTGAGGGTTACAGTTACTGACCTTGGCGGTGGAATGGTTACGGCATCTGTTCCGTTGCTGATACATAATCTAAATGACTTTGACCCTACTTGCACTACAACTAGTTTTTTGGAACTTATATCTGAGACTGACCCTGCTGGCACGACGGTAAGTTGTTTACTTACTCACTTCAACTAGTTTTTTGCAACTTATGTCTGCTGGTAAGATGTTTACTAGAAGACCACACATACTATTCTAAGAATTCCCTATTCAAATTTAGTAAAATGACATCTTCGTATAAAACAATATACAGGGATCCTACATTTATAGCGAATAGATTTATTTGACGGGGTGTAACCATGGTAACCCTTTCACAACCAAATTATGGTCAACGATTTGCTAG